GGAGCTGCTTTTCCAAACATGCTCCTAAACCCAGAGAAGGGACCATGCCCAAGCCGTTCTCATCCACTCCTGTCTGGCCCCGGACTAGGCTCTGTGACACAAAGGTAACAACATCTTGGTGTTGTTAGATGGACTTTGCAGTTAAATGGAGGAAAAATGAGTGCCTTGTGTTTCACTGTGGCTGCTATGGGGAGCTAGCAAATCCTTTACATACAGGAATTTTGCCAGTCATGGAAGCAAAGTGGTTTGTTACTTGCCTTTGAGGGCTTGGGAGAGATCTGTCTTGGATATCCTCTTGTTGACCTTATTGAGTTAACTTTCATGTGTTTAGAAGGTCACAGAGAAAATCATTAATATTAGGTTGATTTGATGGCTGAAAGGTAATAAGTATTTCCTGCTTATCAGATAGGGTTTGAGAGAACTCTGAATAGCTTGATTTGTTTATCTTTTGCAATCGGTACGGCCCTTAGCGAGAGGGATTTTGTATTCCTGCTTCAGCTGGTGGAATGACATAGGGCTTGTTTTCCGCCGAGTGCTCCACAGCACAAATAGCAAAACACCAGGAAACTGTGAAGTCCAGCTCCCAGCTAACTTGGCCATGCTGTGGGCCTTGGACATCTCATGCTGTAACACTTTATGACATGAACAATAACAGATTAACATCCCCTGTTACTGGAAAGCTCAAAATAGAAAATGCGAAGTGCGTGGAGGTTGGTTGGGTGGAAAGCCAAATCCTGTAAACGTGGCTTGGCACGGCCAGGGTTTCATTGACCTTGGCGGGGCTGGGAGTGCTCCATTCACAGGAGGCATCTGGGAGTGCAGAGATGGGGCACGAGCCTGTGCAGGGCTGACATCACAGTGCTGCTCTTGGAGGCTTTTGCTGTTCCTGAGCTTTTCTTGGATTAATGTGCAGTGAAACCTTAGGCTGCATCAGCAAAATGGTCTTTCCCTCACCCTCCATCTGGGATTTAACAAAGAGGGGAGTCATTCTTTAAGCTGAAGGATCGTTGTAAAGCCATTTAAAATGAAATCCAGTCTTATTTGAGAATCATTTGGCAAAAAAGCACATGAAAATCTCCCGTTGTGGACTCGCTAGAAGACAGACATCATTTCTGGTTCCTTTGGCTGTTGGGAAAGGAGGTAGGACTGAATGTTCCACCTTGAACGGTTGGGCAAGGACAACAGATGAGGGAGAGCAGCTTCTTTTCAGGAGGGAGGCATTTCTGTTGCTTCTAGGGCTTGAGGTGATGGTTGTTTTTAAAATAAATGCTGTTTATTCCCTTGCATAAACTCTGGATAGCCAACAGTATTTGTAGCTGTATAGTATCATCGAAAGGTGTGGTGACAATTAAATAATGAATGGATAAAGAATTGATGGAAAAGAAAAAGAGAGGAAGTGTGAAAATGAAACCAAATTCAGTGCTCTGATTTAACAACTGGGCTTTTGCAGGTTATAAATCATTGCCAAAGAATGAGATGGAGTTACAAGAAACCACACTCCTGAGATGCTGAAACCAGCATGCACAGGCAGCAGACAGATGCCCAAACCAGCTGGACAGATGCCAGACAGACCAGTACCCATCCCCAGGCCCCTGGAGGAGTCCTGTGTCCCACAGTGCTGCTCAGGAGCTGGAAGGTGCAAGCAGCCCTTCCCTTCAGGGACCTTTTGTGTGCAGCTCTGGACCCAGGGTCTGTCTGCTGCCTACACGGAGGTGTGGATGGTCAGGCTGAAAGGCAAAGAAGGGCTCTCACACTGTGTGAGATATGTTTGTGTGCAGTGACAACATTTCTACAGTGAAAACAAAAAAGGAAAACTTGCTTTGGTGAACAGGAATGAAAACCCTTTGGTTTAAGGGACTTAGAGACATTTCTGCATTGAAGTGTGTTTGGGGGTGGATGTACTTGGTTTCAGGTGACCTCCCTAACTGAGTGTTGGCAATCAGTTGCCAAAGGAGACATATGTTATTAATTTTTATGAGATTTATAGAAGAGTCTCTCTTATGGTATATATACATGGACTTCCTTATCTCAGAGGGGCTTGCTGCTCGAGGGAGTGTACCCTGTAGGGGAGGGGTCCTGTGAGAGTGGATTTTAGCAATGATCAAACAGGTTTTATCTCATGAAATGATCACTGCATGAAATTTTATTTTGGTGTATTGATATTCTCTGCTGCAGGCCAGATGCAGCCCAGGCTGGCACGCTTAATTCCCTTTGGCCACCCTCCAGCAGAGCATCCTGTTTTCACAGGGTGGTTAAGTGTGAGCTTATCTTTAAGCAGGCGGCGAAATCCGGGTGGTTTCACTGCTGCTCTGACCACGGCTTCTGGCCAGGGGACAGCTCAGCTGCCAGGGGAACCTGTAGCTCCTCCAGGATCCCTGCCCTGGGACAGAACCAGGCCCTTCCTGGGGAAGAGGTGGAGTGATGCACACTGGGTGCATTTGGGGTCAGCATCACCTGCTGATTTTGCATCAGCTACTTCAGGCCTTGGCTGAGGGTGATGCCAGCCAGCTCCTTGGACAGGGCAGGAAGAGATGTCACCCCCTGTGCTGCTGGTGCCCTTCTTACAAAGTCAAGGGGCTCTCAATTAGCTGATCTTAAGGCAGGACAGTGGTGTCAAAGGTGCACAGGTGTGTCAGTGACAGGTTGGAGCTGAGCACTGTGCAGGATGCTCTGTGGGTGCTCCTGAGGCACTGCAGCCACAGGCTGGGGCCTCTGCTGTGCAAGTCCTCCAGAGACAATTAGAAGAGAATTAGAACACGTCTTGGGAAACAGATTGCATTTTCTGTTGGGAGTTTCCAAAAAAGCAAAGCAACCTGCCCTTCCCCCCACTTCAAATCCCACCTGTTTTGGTTTTTTTCCTAGAAAAATGTGAAATTCATTAATGTGTGGTGAAAGCAATGTAACGACGTCATCTTGACTTAAAATCTGTTTTAAATCTTAGAATGATGGAGCCAGAATTTTAGCTGCAAATAGCCTTGCCTTGGGGCACAAGGCAGACTGTCAGCATGACTGGAACATCTCTGGGTTTGGTAGTTTAGCATCCTTTGCAACTATGACATTTGAAAAGAAAGCAAGAAAAGACACAGAAAGGAGAAAAAGAAATTAATATTATTTCTGTCAAAAGCCAAGCCCTGTGTGCTGTGCTCAGGTGTAGCTGTGGTGCCTGGGGAGTGCAGGGCAAGCAGAGCCCAGCTCTGTGCTAGGCAGAGCTCTGCTAGCATCCTGCTGAGGCCACCCTGCCATGCCCTCTGCCCAGGGGTGCTCCTCCTGCCACATCCCCAGTGCTGAGTCACAGCTCCTGGCTGCGCTGTTTTCTGACAGTGGGAAACACTGTGAGCCCTGTCCCTGTCCTCTGACACTGCTGTGAATGTCCCAGCACTGCCCTGAGCCTCCCTTGCCCAGCCTGTGCCTTCAGCTCCCTACGGGCTTCTGACAGCAAAATCAGAGCTAAATCACCCTCTTCTCAAAATGTCAAATACCAAAATCCAGATTTTGGGAACAGCACCGAAGGCAATCCCGCAGCATCGCTGGGAACCTCATGGCTGTTGAGCCTGGGCTTTGGCTCACGGTGCTTTCTGGAGGTCTGGTGCTCAGCAGCACTGCCTGCCTGAGGTTTTCTTCCTGCTGCAGGCCTGGGTGTCCCCTAGATAATATAACCTAGATATCTAGGTTATCCCTAGATAATTGGGAATGCTGCAGAGTTCTGTTGAGATTTGGACTTTCAGGCTTCACAGTATTTGCTGGTATGAGATGGTGTGCAGGAGGCTGAAGTGGGGCTCTTTGGTGTGTTGTGGCCACTTTCTGTATATGTATCAGTCTGGGGTGGATCTGAACAAGGATTTATTGACCTTTTCTCATTTTCATTGCCAGTTCCCTCCCCACACTGCTACATCAGAACACTTTTTCTTCAGGCCATGTTTCTAAGTCCTTTATTGTCCTGTAAAGGGAGTCTGCCACCAAAATGTTGCCCATCTGTGAGTTTGGAGTGGACAGTGTGGATGCTGTGGTGCAAATGCTCCACAGGTCACAGATGGACAGATTGTGGAGCAATTTTTGGGCTTTGCTGTTAGGGTGTGAAGAGCTTTTTGGATGCACGCTGTTGTGTCCCGCTTGGGAGGGCACCTTGAGAGCATTGGTGTTATCAGGTCCTCTGACCTTGGGCAAGCCAGGTCAACTCTTTGGAAGGAATAGTGGGACTCCTGTTTTGATATTTCTTGGGAATACTTAAAATAGGAAATGAAACAAAAAGTTCATGGTAATGTTTGAAGCCGTGGTGAACTCATGTTAATTTAGTCCCTTGGCCAGAACAAACAGATGAGGTGGCTGAGGCTGTCAGAGCCCTGCTGACCACAGCCACTGGTGGAAAAGCTGGTTTGACTCTCACCACTCCTCGTGATCTCTCCCCAAGGGAGCTGTCCCATGGCCCTGTCAAGGTGGACAGAAGCACATCCATGGATGGTGACCACATCATGGCTTCACTCCAGAGCAGAGCTGTAGAATGGACAAGTGACACTTCTGTTGTAGTGGGTTTTATGTGAAGTTCAAGTCCAGCCTGCTAAGGGCAGCACAAAGAGTTTTTTCCCTTGACTTCTCCCTGCAGTTGACCCAGAGAATCAGTGCACTGCTGCTGCACCAGATCTCTGAGAAGGGGCTGGCTGTCCCCGCTCTCCAGTCTGCGCCTGTGTGACCTGGTAGAGGCTGTGCATATGCAGTGGAGAGCCTGATTTATGGTCAGTGGGGCTGACCAGGAGGATTAAATCAAAGCAAGGACAAGCAGAAGTTTTTCAAAAATGCCCAGTTTGATTGTAACCCCCCAGGTTTGTTTACTGAGGAGAGTCAGCTCTGGGGGGCATTACAGAGTGCCTGACACTGCTGCCAAGTGAAGGGCAGCCCAACCTGAGCCCCCAGTGCCCTTGGCAGACTGATGTGCAGCCCCTCTGCCCCCAAGCCTTGCTGTGCTCACAGTCTGTTCTGTTCTGTTCTCTCCCCACCTGTCCCAGATGTTTGCTGCTGAAGAGAATGTGGATTTTCGGATACACGTGGAGAACCAGACGCGGGCGAGGGACGACGTGAGCAGGAAGCAGCTTCGGCTCTACCAGCTCTACAGCAGGACAAGCGGGAAACACATCCAAGTGCTTGGCAGGAGGATCAGTGCCAAAGGAGAAGACGGAGATAAATATGGTAAGAATATTTACTGGAATCCCCCAGACTTCAGGTCAAAGGCTTTAATCCAGGGTGTTGTGCTAAGAATATCTTGGGAGAAAAATAATAAGAGCAATAAAAACCAAAATAAGAGGAAAAAGCTCTTTCCAGGTAAAGAACATGAGATTTGGTTTGCTGCCACTGCCTCTGAGCTGCAGGCAGTTCCCATGGTACTGCCATGCCCCTGTTTATTAGTGTATGGTTGGAGAGAAGAATGTCTTTCTGCCTAAGCCATGAGCTCACTGTGTGTTTTCTGCAATTCATAAATGACACCTAAATTGGTGGTTGGGGAAGCCCTTTCCCCATGAACTCTTGGGCCTGTGGTTGAGTGAATCCAGTGTTTGAATGAAGCACTCCCATCTTCTCAGGTAGTGGGATGTTTGGTTTGAACTGAAAGTAGACTTTGAGAGCTTTGAGAGTACCTTGGAGCTCAAGCTGAGTCTCTGAGTGTGTGGATCTTGCAGGAAAAACAATGCTTACCCTATGCTAGCAGTGCATCCAACGATTCTTGAGATTTTCACACAAGCAACATGCTGGAAATGCTGCTGGAGGCTGGGCTATGCAAAATACTGTAATTCTGATTCATTTGGAGATGGTTTCTGCTGAGATGCTTTTTCTCTCGTTGGCTGTCGGGAGGGTTTTAGGGCTGTTGAGAGCACTGGTCCTGTTGGTGTTTGGGATGCACATTCCCGTGCTGCTGCAGAGGTGTGTGTGTGAGAGTTTGCTGGCTTGGCCAGCACATGGGATTGTCTGGTGCAGCACTGCTGAGGTGGAGCTGAGCTCCGAGGAGGGCAGCTCAGCATCTGGGAGCGGTTGTTCCCTCAGGAAGCTCCAGGACAGATGAGGCACATGCTGAGGGCAGCTGCTGCCACTGCCGGTGCGGGTGCAGGAGCAGCATGAGCTGTGCCACGGGAAGCGACAGCCAGCGAGCACCTGGCAGGTAGGAAGTGACCCCAAGGCATTGTGTGGGGTCAGCCGTTCTCTCAGAAAGAGCCCTGCCCTGAGGTCTCATCAGCCTTGTCCCTTGTCATTCCCAAATTCCCAGATATTACAGGAGTGAAAAGTGCCGCTTGGCTGCTAATTATTGTGTCATTTTATGGCATTCGTGCTCCTGAGCTCTGATATGGAGACGAGTCTCTGGGCGCTGCCGCCGCCCGGGGACGGCTCCTGCCCGCGGAGGCTGTCAGGTGCCGTGATGGAGTTTTCCTCCCGGTGAAAGAAGGCGGCATTTACAGTGGGTGCAGCAGGGAAACGTTCCCGGGAGCAGCTGACAAGTGCTAATTTATGTGTCAAAGCCCATCTTGTCCCCTTCATACATATGCAATCGTGTCTGAACAACAAACCCGCGTGCGGGAGCGAGCTCCTGGCCGAGAGCGGTGCTGCCATGGCAGAGCCCGAGATTCCTGGACCAGACCTCCTGCATCCCTGCCTGCCTCCAAATCCTGCTCCTCCATCCCTGCCTGCCTCCAAATCCTGCTCCTCCATCCCTGCCTGCCTCCAAACCCTGCTCCTCATCCCTGCCTGCCTCCAAACCCTGCTCCTCCATCCCTGCCTGCCTCCAAACCCTGCTCCTGCATCCGTGCCTGCCTCCAAATCCCTCTCCCGGCTGCCGGAGTGCTCGGTTTTTCTGCCTGCACCCCCAGACCCGCTCGGCCCCGGAGCCTCCTCAGCAAACGCGCCGAGGCTGCGGAGCCTTCTGGCCCCCAGCGCAGTGAAAGGTTATGGAAATGGGCTCCGGTCCTGCTTGGCACGGAGCACTGGGAGCATGATAATCGGGGAGACAGTGAGGTGGGACTCGGCGGGCCGGGATGGGACCACGCAAAGCTCCTGTCTGGGATAACGGAGTGGGGAGAGACGTCGGAGTTACTGGAGTGAGAACCATCTGTGTTCCAGCCCAACCTGGACACAAAGGCAATGACACAAGGCTCATTATGTGCCGGGAACCCCTCCCCCTGAGGCATTATTATGGAGTAACCTTTGATCAAGACCAGAGAGAGGCTTAAACCGGGTCTGGGGATCTCAACAGTTGCGAACTTTTGATCCACATCTCCGTCTTGCCGGTCGGCTGTGCGTCTGGAGCAGTACACCTCTCCTCCCGGGCAGCAGATGGCCGAGTGTCCCCTGCCCTTCCCCGGCCGTTCCCTGCCCTTCCCCGGCCGTTCCCTGCCTGCCCCGGCCGTTCCCTGCCTGCCCCGGCCCGTGCGGCTCGCTGCCTAAAGGCTGCGGCTTGGGGAGGGCTGGGGGAGGACAAGCACGTCTGAGAAATGCCTGAGCAAAGGCAAGAGACGTGGGGAAAGGTGCCCGTGATATGGCTCCAGCCGTGAATTCTCTCAACAGCCCAGGGCAGAAGGTGACATCAGGCAAGGGCCGGTCGGGGTTCGGGTGGGAAGCTCTGTCGGGAGGAAGGTCCCTGGTGCTCATCACCACCCCATTAGCACCAGCTCATTGCAAGGATAGCAGAGCAAATAGCGTTTTAGCGCCTCTTTCCCGTCTTCCCTTACACCCACAACAGTGTCCAGATTTTTATTTTTATTTTTTCACATATCCAACTTCCAAATGGGAGGGTTGTCCTGCCTTTGAAGGGAATTTACTTTTATTGCAAGGTTTATTGACTTCTGTAAAACTTCTCACCTCTTGGCACAGAGAAAACCCAGAAGAGAGGGGAGGTGGCAGATCTGGGGCAGGGAATGGCCGCTTTCCAAGCAGCCCCCGCAGGTACAGCAGAATGAGCAGCCAGCCCTGCCCGGGGGAGGGATGATGCTGCAGGGCTGGGGATCCGGCCAGAGAAATGCCCCTGGACTCTTTTGCTCAGGTGTGCAAATGCCACGCTCTGCAATGCAGGATTCTGCTGCCGTCATTCCGGTGTGTAATTTTTGGTTTATGCATTCTTTGGGGCCAAGACCTGGCCCAGTGTGTCAGATTATTAAATGGCAAATTAAATCAGTTAATAGAATTAATTGAGTCGATGTAATCCTTCTAATCAGATGGATTTGATCCCTTCTCAGATGAATTAGAATCCATTAACAGATAAGTCAATTATTGGACTAAATTAAATCTAATAATAATGCCCGCTGCTTACAGCAACACTAATTAATCTAAATACACTTACCTATCTCCCAAGGTTGTTTTTTTTAAAGGCTTAATTGATGTTCCTAAAGTGCTCTGAGATCTTTAGATAACAGATGATCTATGTGAGAAAAATATTATCTCTTAACAGACTATAAACTAATTAAAGGACTGATCTATTTGCAAATTGCAGTTTTACTTTAATCTTTTCAACCTATCCAGAAGGAATTTGCACTGGCCCAGAAAAACAATATTCCTATTATAATCTTATTATTACTTTATGGGTTCCTAAGTGGTCCTTTCATTCAGAAAATGAAAGGGTGAAGGAGAAAAAACAACCATTAAAGTGCTGACAAAAAAAAAGAAAAAAGAAAAAAAGAAAAGGACCTGGAACCTTTATTTTCTACCTCCGATAAATGGTACAGATAGGGAAGAGAGGGATCAGTGACCTGAAACCTTAGATCCTTTCATTTATTTTCATTTCACAAAAGGCAGAAGACATTCTATCCTGTTTGCTCACGAACTGTGTATCCGGCGCAGTTGGGCAGACAGAGCTCTCTTGGTTGGGTGAAGGCATTTTTGCCTCATTTGTATTTCACAGCCATGGGGGTTTTGGTTTAATTTGTCCCCAGCTCCTGCTGTCCTGCGGGGCACGGAGCAGTGATAGGCACGAGTGCCGAGCTGGGAGAGCGCTCTGCTGCTCTCCGGAGCGTTCCGGGCTCTGTTCTGTCCCCGGGCCCGCTCCACCGAGCCGCCACAGCCCCTCGGGAGCTCAGAAACCCTGCGGATGATAAACCTGATAAACCTGCCACTGCTCAGAAACCCTGTGGATGATAAACCTGCCACTGCTCAGAAACCCTGCGCTTCATAAACCTCCCACTGCTCAGCCCTCTGGTCCGCAGCGCGGAGCCTTCAGCTGGGGAGGGCACAGGGGGGACAGCAGCACCCCGGTACCGGGCAGGAGCAGCCCCCAGAGGCTCCCCCGGGTCCAGAACCCCTGCGGGAGGGGAGGGGAGG